CAGGATCCTCATTTGACAATTTAACCAGTAGTTTCCTCTGCTAGATGCTGAAGTCATCCCTCTATAGACTGCCATGTGGTTTGTGTCCTTTACCATGTTACAGCACCAGGAGCTTTGGTTCTTTGCTGACATCATGATGCTGCGACAACATGAGAGGGTGAGTGAGGGTAGAGATGAACCAGGAAAGCTGCAGACCCTACAAACAGAAAGGTCAGTGCACAGGCTGCCTGCTGCAAGGGACATCACGGGTTGGGATTCCTCACCTGGCTCAGCCTGTGCTTCCCTTTACCAAGCTAACTGCACTATCTCCAGTCCAGGCTGTGCACTTCAGTGTTCCCTCAGTGTGGGATCACCTGAGGACATCACCACAGGGCTGCTCATCCCAGCAGTTCTCAGAGGAGAATGACTCAACTAGTGCAAGCACCAGCGTCTCCCCATCAGCTGCAGGCAGAGCAGATAAACTGTGCTAGACATGCAACTGCTTCTTACACCTTGCCTGGTTCACAACAGCTTATTTCTTCCAGGCCCCTCTGCCACACACCACGGTAGGAGGAGATTGGGAAGATAAGAACCTAATTTCCAATAAACAGCTGCTATATAGCTGGATCACTGAAACACATGGAGCCCTGCAGGGATAATAGCCAAAAAGTCTGCCTTCTCTCTGGCTTACGCTGCTTTGCTTTCACACAGAGCGCAGTCAGAAAAGATCTTGTTGGTCACCCTTGCATTCCTCAGGAGTCCTCTTCATGCACACTTTGCTATGAAGGTGCTTCCCTGGTAACTGTTACCCTGCCTGCTTAGGAGGAATGGTTTTATTCACATATTTTTCCCTGGATTTCACAAGACACCCAACTGTGCCAGGCCCTTCAGAGGTTGTAGAGCTGAGGAACTTAGCCCCATAGAAATGAAAGTTCAGGTGGTGAAATAAGGGAGATGAACCTAGAAAAATACAATACACTTGAATGAAGTAAGAGACTTGTGTAGATTGATTTGAGGAAGAGATATGCAACCTGCTCTTAAGAAATAATTAAGGAGAAGGAGATGAAGGGATGGAAAGACTTAAAGGACCTGAAGTAATTTTGAAGATGCTAAAATTAATGAATATTAGCGTCTGCTCTGGTGCTCATTCTAGCACCCTAAAGAACAATCAAGGATCTCAATTTTCTACTTAAATAGTATACTGTCTCCATACAAATGATGTAAATCTATTGAAGCAGGAGCAGTCCAAGATACCCCTTACATCTCCCTTTGAGAAGATGATAGGAGAGATCAGCTGCTTCCTAGCAGGGCAGGGATCAGATACTCCCTTCACTGAACTGACCTCTGTGGGATGCTCCGGCAGCGCAGGACCTGCTGCTTGCAGCTACCCAGGCAAGAGATGCTCAATGTCCAGCTGGCAGGCAGTGGCCCCCGACCTGCAGCCATGCTGGTAGGACTGGCTTTTGAGGGAGAAGAGGTCCATGTTCTGTCATCCGCTGCTGCCAGTAGCAAGGTTTTAGAGTAAGGAAGGGGATATTGAAAGAGATTGTCTGTCTTTGGCACGGGGATAAGAACTATATTTTATTAAGGAATGGTAGTACAATACAAAAATATGATTGTATAAAAATCTGTGAAAAATATGGCACCATTTAAAATAGCCTTTTCTCCTTTCATATATTCCTTTCTTTTTAAAAAAGATATGTTGTAAATACTTCTAATCTTTTTTCCACCAGCATTGGGAAACCAAGAAAAGTCTTCAAATTGCAGTCAAGATAAAGGATAACTAATAATGTAATTTGAATTGTCTTGGATTTGCCTTAAAGATCTTCAGAGAGGCAGAAGAAAAAAAAAAGCATCCAGAAAAGTCTGAGGAAAACAAAAAAAAACGTTTCTATTCACAGAATGTGAGAGAATATCCAGCATTTGAAATTGTTTGATGCTTTTAGGAACAAAGTCCCCCAGACCTGACCAGCAAAGGCTTCTAGGGCAGGAGGAATGAGGGCACTACCAGACCCATGAAGTGAATGACTCTGCCTGTGTGTTTAAAGTCAACCTGGTGCTTTGCCAGGGTCAAGGCTGAGCCTTGCAGTCTGTAGCTGGCCATGTGTTTACTGATCTGTCCTCCCCCTCTTCAGCAGGTCTCTCAGATTTCCATGGCACTGGGATCCCAGATGGAAACTTACTTTAATCAGGAATTAAAGTGGGTAAAACTAATCTACCTGACAAAAAAATAGTAAGTTTATTCTACTTTTCTTTTCCACAGTTATATTTATATATAAGAAAATATAATTCATGCTCATGAAGTGATATTTTTCCAGCAGCATCTGGAAATAATATTCTTTGGGATAAAAGTTCTGTTTTTCCAAAAAGTCCAAGTGAATTGGGACCCTATTTTCTCTCTTTATTTGCTCATTTGCCAGAATGACTGTTGTCTATTTTATTCAGAGGTTTTGCTTCTGAGCTTCATTCTTAACAAGAGCTAACAATTACTGAGTTAAATTCCATCAATATGTCTGGAAGCCATCCTGTAATATCAAATCTTGTACATTCTTACTAATAAATGTAATTATTGGCACTATTAAAGCAGCCTACTTTGAAGACAAGATAGGTTATCAAAGCAAGTTCTGTTGCAATACAGAGACTAAACACAGCCTAGTACAGATGGAGAAAAAAGTTTGATTTTTGAAAACTGCACAGACTTGCCAGGGTCTCCTAGGACAGTCTAAGGTCTTGTCTACGTGGTGAAACCGTCTGGCAGGACGCCAGTGGGACAGCTATCTCAGCACCATCAGACCTTTGCCAAGACCCCAGCATGATTCATACTGGGATGTGAGTGCTGCTTGCTGTCACCGTGCAGACAGACCTGGGGCTGGAAAATGGCCCGAATGGAAACTGGCTGCTTAATGAAGAGAAAATAATACTGCTTATGGTGAGCATCAAACATGCCCAGTGGTTTTCAGAGTGGAACTGGACACCAAGCCAGGCTGGTAAGCATGTAATTCTTTCTTCAGTTCCTAAAATCCCATGGGCTCCACTAGCAGCTGCAGTGCTTCTGTATGAGCAGGAAACACAAGCATCTTTCTGATGGTTTCTAGTACCTAATTTGCCTTCGTCTGTCCTTACTCAGTGCCCAGAAATGACACTAGAACTCTAGTGAAGCAGTAACTGTGAACTTAACTGCATCTTCAAGCAGCAGGTCTAGGATGAACATGGATTTCCTCTTCGGTCTCGAGGCCTTTCTCTAAGCTGGAGCAGAATTAAGTGAGGTGGGAACGTATTCCTCCTTCTTGCTCTGGTCTTGCCCTTGGGATGTTGGATCGAAACTCATTTAGGTGGGAGGACGCTGCACGGGATTTGTTAACAACTTACAGGCTATTCCTTAGAGCAGCTCTAGTGAGGAAGGAAACCCGCAGCCGTGCAGCTGGCTCTACCCTTGTGAGCCATCCCAGGTAGCCTGGGGAGACTGAGAAGTTGTGTGAACCACAACCAAATTGCCTGACCCCAAAGTGCAAGGTCTGGGCATCAAGGCAGGAACTTTTTTGCAAAAATGACAGTGATTTATGGTTGTTTATCAGCCCGAGCAAGGAGATGCAGAGCGTGGGCTGCCAAGCCTCTGCCCTGCTGCCGGGCAGGGAGGGGAATTCCCTGGATTTTCTCTTTCATCTCAGACAAGGACGTGCTGTTTAAAGCAATCGCACAACCCGCAGTTGGCACGACTGGCCATTGCGCATGCAGGGAGAGTTCAATAATTCAGCAAGTAAAACCAGAGCCAGCAGCAGACTTGGGCTCCAGCCAAGACTTGGAAAGTTGTCCTAGCATCAAATAACGCCTCTGCTCAACAGCTTGAGATCTCCCTTCTTGGGAAAGCACTGTCTGCCAGGGGAAGAAGAAATCCTCAGCCTGCAGGTTTTCTGCTGCTCCAATAGAGGGAAGGGGGCAGGGGGAAGGGGCTGATGTACAGGTTCATACTGGTACCGTATGCCCTTTCCCTGTCTCAGCAGTGTAAAGGGACTCAAAGCTAGATGGCCTTTGCCAAAACATTAGGAAATATTGTCATTTGCCCTAGTCCACACAGTGACCACAATCTGGTGTGGTTTTCTTTTTTTTCCTCCCTTTTATTTTTTCTTGTTGTTTTTACCCTTGGTTTCTTTCTTTTTTTTTTTTTTTCTTTTTTTTTCTTTTTTTCTTTTTTTTTTTTTTTTTTTTTTTTAAATAAAGTGTATACAGTGCTGGTGAAAGGTGCTGAATTGACAGTCTTGGAGCCAGGTGTCCCTCTACCCAGCCCCAGAGAGCTCTGGGCTCTCCTCTCGACACCAACCCTGTGCTAGGAGAGCTTGCAGGTCCCTGTGCTCTCCCACCCTCTCCCATATCTGCCTCTTGCTGTGCTGGTTGGGACACGTGTGGCTGAGCACAGATTCCCACCTCCCATCCCAGGTTTGGGTGCTGCTGACCTGGGCCAGACTGGACTGGACAGTGCTGGAGGGTACTTTTCTGTGAGCTGTTCCAGCTCCCAGGGAGGATGCAGCTTCTGCAAGTAGGAGCCTGCCTGTTCCCAGAGCAAGCATCAGGTCTGCAGCCCAGGTCAGCTTGGTCCACTCCTGAGCAGGATCCAGGGGAGAGGAAGAAGAGGGGAAGCACCCTTGGGTGCAACTTGTCTCTGCCTTCATTTGGTGCCTAATCCAGACCTGACCCCAAATGTTTCAGCGCAGACTGATTGTCTCTTCCTTCACGCTCTTTTACCTGCCTTGCTAAAGTGCAAACGAACACCACTGAATCACCCTGGGTGCTGCTGCCTGGCTCATGCCCAGGGTTCCAGAGAGGCAAGTGGGGCATCAAGTGCCTGACTTGCCCATGGTAATCCTGTGCCAGGCTTTCAAATAACACCCTGGAGGCATTTGGTGTATTCCCCACCACCCCACCCCACCCCCCCCCAAAACCACCAAGGTCAACCTGTGTTCCTCCTTGGCCAAAGGGAACCCCCCCTTTGCTCACCCATTCCCACCTCCCTCCCCCCTCCCCTTGTCCCCACCAAACTGTGCCAGACTCTGCTGGGCAGAGGAGAGGGGCAAAGCAGCCTGCTCCATCTTCCCATCCACATTAAAGCTAAACGCAGCACCAAAATAGATACAAAAATAGAGCTTTTGGGTCTATCGACCCAACTTCACTATTAATATTACTGTTATGAAATGTCTGAAAATAAGAGCCACTCTTTCTGTACACACCTTCCCCCCACCCACCCCTTACTGACAGTATTGCCGTTCATCCCATCCTGTCACAACAAGATATGAATATGCCTATTTTCTCTATGTTTTAAATATAATTTTTCCTCTAACTTATCCAATGCTTCCATCCCCCCATTGTGAACAAACATGGCAGAAAGGGGTTTGGAAAAGAAAAAGAGCTGTTTCAAAAATCTTTCATCATTTCTAGTGTTCTGAATAGTATTTCTACCTCCTGGGGCTCAAGTCCTGCCAGGTCATTTAAAATGACAGAAGGTACCTGCAATTTCTGATGAAGGCCCTGATGTCCTTCTCTGGATTCCCATTGGATGCTCTCTGATGGGGATGAGAGAGATAATGTATTTGCTTTCCGCTATCCAAAAGTCACAAAGTGTTTGATCAGCAAACCCATGACTGAAAAAAGTAAATATATAAAATAAACAACAACTCACAGCCTCTTTCTCAAGTTTCCCTGTCTATCCAGTTTTCAAAGTGCAAAACCTAGAGGAGCATAGAATGGTTTTCTTGTGTTTTTGTTGTTTGTTTCTTTTCTTTTTTTTTTTTTTTTCCTTTTGTTAGGGCTTTTTTTCCCTACGTGCTTGACTGGTATGGCCTTTCTATAGCAAAAGTCAGATAAAGCATAATTGCAGTCGTTTCTGCACATGGAATTATGAATCATTCCAGTGACTTGAGAATCTAAGCTGTTAATAGGCTAAAAAAAGGATTTTTTTGTTTGTCTTTTTTTTGATTGTTTTTTTTTTTTTGCATTATAATTAAGCATGAATATATATTAATATATTACACTGCTTGGATTGCAGCTGGAGCAATCCAAACCTTCCTATGCTGTAAAACTAACCCCCACCCTGCACTCCTCAGATCAAGAGCTTTTTTTCTCCTTCCTGTGCCAGTTATCCTCAGTTGACATGGTTAAAAGTCCCTCCCAACCCCCCCACCCCCTTTTTTTTTTAGTAGATATTGCCACATTCTTGAATTCATGCATTGCTGCATTGCTATTGCACATATATAAAGGATTGCTCGCTCCCACCCAGCTGTTCCCCTTCCCTCACTGGTTGTGCACATCCTCTCTGCGGACGATCTTGTAGATGATCCAGTAGAAAATGTTGAAGATGAGGAATGCCATGGGGAAGCCGATACGTGAGATCTTGTCGATCTTCTTGGCTCGCTGAATGAAGAGCTTTCGCATCTCCTCGGGGGAGCGGGACGGTGGGGGAGCCGGGTTGGCTGTGTTGTTGTTGTTGGCACCCTTGACGGAGATGCCATCCTTGGCTTGTAGGCAAGCCGGTCCCATCCCGTAGGCAGTGAAGTTGAACCTGCCTTCACCAGCTTCGTCCTCCTGAAACAGATTCAGCATGGGACTCTACTTAAAATGAGATATAGATAGTGCACCCTCGCTATAAGGCTCTCCACGGACAGCTTCCTGCTCTGCAAGGGAGAGATGCCTCCATCATGCCCCAATCTCAGTGCCCTTGGACAAACCCCCTGCTCTTGGGAGATCAGCCTTATAGAGGGGTGCCAGCTGTGTGATGCACAGAGGCAAATCAGGGGATCCAGGCACCCCATGGAGAACAGGACCGACTTCTACCCCCTTGAGGTCTTTGACGTACTTGAAGGGTTTATGGTACTGCTTTCATTTTTCCAATTGCATCCCCTGTTTTGCTTCTGCCTCTCCCTCCCCCTCGCTCCTATCAGCACCTTCTTTGCTTTGCCTGTGCTGTATCAGCTTGCCCAGAAGGAGTGGGCTCCATGTAACTCACGTAGTCGAAGCCGCAGTGAGAGACTTCCTACAGAGTTATATGGATGCGCAGGAGCCGAGACCTGTCCAGGAAAAGACCTCTGCAGACAGCGTGCAACCAGCCCTCTGCTCGCCTGCCCATGGGACCCTGCTGAGCCCCAGAGCCTCTCCCCACAAGCCGTCTTTCAGGTGAGGAACAGAAATGCCCTTCTGTGAGTCAACGGTAAGTCAGGGCTGCTTGTGCTAGTTCCAATTATTGAGCAAGAAAATTTATTTTCCAATCAAAAGGCAAATGCTATTGCTGGTTTTTGGTGGAGGCCTTGCAGGCTTCTCAGAATGATGTAGCCCTATTTTATTGAACACGGAGATATAATCACAGAGAAAACTAGGTTTGGCCAGAATAATACAACCAGTGAGTTGCAGAGGCAGGGCCAGAAACCCATGTCTCTTGACTATGTGTTACCATGACTGATTGTTAGAACAGTGGAACTAATTAACTGTCAGAGAGGCTGATCCAGGCCGTGTCCCCTCAACACTGCCCCCTCCCTTGTAACCCGCCTGTCCGATGTGCCCTGCTGCCCCTTCCTCTCTCCTTTGCAGAGTGTCTTTTCTGGACGGCCCCTGTATCGAGCGGGTAGCTGCATGGGATGGAGCACTGTGCTGGGGTCTGGGGCAGAGAAGCAGAAGGCAGAGCACACTGTCGTATCTGAGCAAAGCAAAACAACCCAAATAAAATCAAACCTTCTTTGGTTTGGTTTAGTTTGGTTTGGTTTTTGTTTTTTTGTTTTTTTTTTTTTTTTTTGGCAGAGGGCATCAAGCTGGTGAGTTGTGTGACCTACCAGCGGGATTATTTGTTTCAGAGTCCTGGCTGAGACAATTCTGCAGGCCTTAAGATAATTATTCCCTGCTCTGGTTGTGTATGCTTGGTGTATCTCTGGTCCCCGTCACCTGAGGCTTGACAGTCCTTAAATGTCCTTGCCTCTGCGAGGGGGAAGTGCCCTAGTTGGGGAAACTGAGGCAGCAAAAGTTAAGACCAAGCTGCTCTCAGGGCTGGATGAGTCCAGGTGTTGAACATCTAGTAAGAGATGCTTTGTGAGCTGGAAGTCAAGATTCACAGAAACTCTTTTCTTGGTTCCCTTGGAAAGATTTTTTCAGTTAAAAGGCTGATTTTCTGATGATAGGCAATGCAGGCATTGTACTTTCCAGATGGCCAGAACCAGCACTGTGGGTGAGGCACTGGCAGTGAGGGTGGATGGGGACCTGGAGTGGTACAGGCTGCAGGGGCCACTTCTGACCCTCCTGCTGCCTGGGGCTCAGCCAAGGCATCCAGCCACACCGCCAGCTCCTGCTGACAAGTGGCATGGGGCAACGTGGGCTGTGCTGGGGGCTGCGCCTGGGCAGCAGCAGGGACAGCATCCCTTGGATCTGGGGCAGCAGGGACAGTTTTGAACTGATCTCTCTCACCCCTAACTTGTCCCCTGTAACTGGACTCTTTCGTGCAGCAGATAACATGTGCATCGGCTACAGAGGCCTGGTTTTCTGAGATGCTCAGAGCTTATAGACCTTCTCATCACGCCTGTATTATGGGGGTTCAGGTGTAAAACTGCCTCTGCTCTTAACTGGTTGCACAAACACACATGCACTGATACATGCCTGGTTTAGCCTGAATCACTTATTTCCCTAATTTACTGAATTTCTTTCTCTTCTCATTGCCGAGGGGCCACTGGCTGTTTTCTGTGGCTGATTTGTTTTGTGTGAATGTCATACCTAGGATAGAGCAGATAGATAATGGTGTCTTTTTGGAAGTGCCATATCAAAGGAGAAAGGCAAAGACATCACCAGCCACACTGGGCTGGCCTTCTTGGGCTGGGTCTCCAAATACATTCCAAATGGGCCTGATGATGGTGTCATATTAAACAGACTGCTCCATACCTCAAAGGGACTGTAATTCTCCCTAGCCATCACAGTCCCTACATGCCCCCGTGCCAGGACCTGTCTGCCCCAGTAAATACAGACAGCGTAATAAGTTTGGAGAGCAGTCTAGTCAATCTTTCTAGTCTAATCCTTTCCTTTCTTCCAGAGGGAAGAGTGTAAGGGGTGGCTCAGAAATGGATAGGGCCAGTTGAAACCTGGCAGCAGATATTTATTGTTTTGCTTTTTATTTTTTGGAGATGAAGAAAGGCTCTTAATGATGAGAATAAGCTAGCACCTTGCAAGTAACTCTGAAGAAAGTAAGAAGCAGATTTTTCTGGATTCATGTGTGTTAATGCCAGACCATGGCATGTTGTCTGGCACATTGAGCTGTGAAGAATGGCTAGTAGGTTTTGATTTGGGCAGACCTAATAAATGTGGGCATGGGCTGGTCCTCCCTCCAGCTGCCTCCACCAACATGGACCACTACAATATCTCACTTGTTTTCAGCCTGGCATGTCTTGCCTAAACTAGACAGAGTTACCCAGACAAGTCAGAACATCAGGACAGAGCAATTAGGTTCTTTGGCAGCTGCACTAGTCCATTTGCATATTTGCAGTCAGCTCCTAGTTTTCTGATGAGCCTGCAAACCTTGTTCATTTTGCCTTTGCAAGTGTTTTTGTTTATGCTTTGTTCCAATTAAATTGCTGTGAGATTGGGCAAGGATTGTAATAGCAGCCTTGTGTTCAATGAAACATCTCTGGCAAATATCTTTTAAACTCATCTGTATATTAGTGGCTTTTTTCTCCTTATATTTTTATCAACAGACTGATCTGCATGCAACAGCATAGATCAGAAACAGGATGCCTGAATCTAAATGAAGCGATAAAAGCACTATGAGGCACCTGTGTTGGGAGGTTTTAGTTTTGGTTCTATTAAGAAGGCTGCGTTTTCTGAACCAAAACTTCCTCAGTTGAATTTGAGATGTCAGGGTCTTGCTCTGGCCAGACAAGATCAACGAGTGCTGATGGTCTCATCTGCTAGTTCTTTTCCCTTGCATTTGTCCAACACATTTCATCCTTGGTCCTTACTGGGTTGAGAACAAGTGAACAATTTTCTCCTGTTTTGCAGATAGGGCAAGTGAAGCAGAGAGAGGCAAATCTACAAATAGACAGGGATTCCTGCTCCTTAGCCTCTTGGAATGGTGGCAGTTCTCCAAGAACACACTGTGAACTGCTGTAGGACAGGCTAGACCCTGGGAAATATTTTTAATGTCTGGGACAGTGAAGCAATAGAATGGGTGGTCTCTGGATGGGGTGGATCACGGAGGACTCTTTAAAATAGAGGGTAGAAAAATACCTGTGAGGAATGTTTTGGGGAGATCTTGGTGGTCTCCTAGGGGCTCTCTTGATATTTGCATCAGAAAAATGTTCTGTTTTTTTTCTTTAGCAAATTTACTGTTTTCTTAATGGTAGCTTGAGGGCAGCCTCTCAGGTCTGGTGCTGAAAATCTGATACTACCTACCTGATTGATTCTGCTAGTTAGTTAAGGACAGTTTTCACCTTTATGTTTCTTTTTTGTGCATCCTGTGAGGTGAAATCTTTGCTGTGGTACCTCAGCTTAAAAGCTAGTACAGTCCAGGCTGCAGGAGATGCGTGTCTACGTGACACATGCATGCTTGGATTTGCATCAGTCATGGCGAGTAAGCATGGAGCGAGGCTAGGGCTGAGAGTAATGCTCTTTCCTTTTGAGAGGAATTTGCAGTCTGAGAAGCAGATGCTTTTGAACACAGAGGTGACAGAGACAGAAGAGGTGTCACTTACCTCCAGGCTAAAGTAGGCTGTCTTGTTGGGGGATGCTGTTCTCTGACAGACTTCCCTCATGCCTCCCTGTCTGCCTCCCCCCAACCCTTTCTGTGTCTTCTGAAGAGGAAAACTCAGACTAGAACATTGCTGTGTGAAAATTGTTCTCTTGAGAACAAACCTTTTGGCTTACACCACTTGGCTAACTAACAAAAACCAGCTTGCTAGACTGCTGGGATCAGCAGGCTGTTAGAAGAGACACAGTTCATTGAGGTAGCCCTGCTTCTTGATGTCTGACCCTCCTTAACATCTGACCATATACTGAGGACTTCACTGGGAGCTAGTGGCTCAGTTCAGTTAACCAGGTAGTGATGTTCTGCTGGGACAGGTTTCAACCGTGTCCTTCATGCTTTATGTATTACCTTATGGTGCCTTCTCTTCCTTCTGAACCTGAGCAGCTCTTTGTGCTGCCGAGACACAAAGTTGACAGCAGCGTACTCTAGAAGTGCAGAGAACACAAACAGCAGGCACACGGCCATCCAGATGTCTATGGCCTTCACATAGGACACCTAGGAGTCAGAGAGAGAGGCAGAGATGGGGAGGTGTCTTCATCCAAATGTCTTTTTCTTTGCTATTATGTGTGTTACTCCCAAAATCTTTGGAAAGAGTTGGTCAAGCCATAATATGGTCAACATCTGCACTTGGATACCAAAATCTAGCTCATTTAACATGAATGCATTACCAGGCCATTGAAACAGCTCCTGGGATCTTAAATAGTAATAATTCCACAGTTTTTAATTTATCCAGGCCTTGACTGTGGTGGTTTATATGCAAGGAAAATAGTAATCCAATCTGATCATACCAGAAGCCCTTCATAACAGGGAAATTCAATACTATTATGGAAGTATGATGGTCAAGTGAGTAAAAAGCTAGAATGTAAAGTGCATATCCGTGTGTGGTGGTTGTAGGGATTTGTAAGGTACAGCGCTCCTGACTACTGGGATCTGTGGTGGATCTTGGGGCAAGTTTTACTGCTAGTCATAGCAACTCTGCTAAAACTTTTTCAGGAGGGGACTGGAATTTGTTCTACTTGCACTTAAACTGGAAAAGTGCAATGGCAGCAGAATGCCTCTTGTGTTGAGCAGAAGGTTTTGTGTGGTGACTTACTTATATGCTGTCTCCCAGAAGTGCGCATTTTGCCCCTCTGCAAAGATAAGTATGTTCCCTACCTTGGGCAGTGATGCTCGAGAACCAGAGCTCTGCGTGGTCATGGTGAGCACTGTGGTGATCCCCAGGCCAACACGAGCAGGTGCAGCATCCATATTGATCCAGAAGGAGATCCAGGACAGAATGACAATAAGGAGGCTGGGGATGTACATCTGGATCAAGTAATAGCCCATCTGCCGCTCCAAGTGGAAACGAGCTTCTATACAGGTGAACTTGCCTGAGAAGGATGGAAGACACATGGAAGATTACTGGTAAGGCACAGTGAGCCTCCTGTTTTCAGCTATTTTCTGGGTATTTTCCTTGCATTTCCTAAAAAAGAGAGTCTTGTTAGAGGAAGAAATAAACAGCTGTTGCCCTGATCTGAAATATGAGTGTACAACATGAACACAGCAAAGAAAGCTCTTGGCAGTATGTCCTTTGTTACTTAAATTTTACCTGCTCCCTTGCATCAAAGACAAAAGAAGATGCTGGGAGAGAAGGTCCAGACCAAACACCATTGAACTGATGTAGATTTTACTGGGGACAAGAGGGTTCCACAGATTTGTGTCTATTAGCTTTTTATTGGTTATACATGTGTATATTTACTGGCAACATATCTGTGTATTTATACACATGTTGTCCCTTGATGTGTAGGACAGGGTTTGTATCACCAGAGTGCCATCAGACATAGCAAGAGACTCTGGCAAATACACAGTCCTGAATTCTTCTCTAATGAACCCAGCAGCTAAGAGTAAACAGCACTGACCTGTGTTGTAGTGCTTTGTGCAGTATCTCAAGTCTTTTTCTTCTTTGAGGATAAACTGAGGCAACGTCAACCCATCAGCAACTTGCACAGCTCCTTTTTCTTGCCACTCAAATATGAGATCATTCATTGTGTAGCCAACTGTTGAGAGGAGGGGGACAAATACCATGTGAAACACATATTAAATACTGATCTGGAAAGGGACAGACTTTTAGATGAGAGCTATGCTTGGAGGCAGGGGTTTATCTTGGCCTTCCTTGTCACTGCTGTAATGAATAGGATTTGGGTTGAAGCAAAACTGCTTGTGCATGTGATAAAAACTAGGGTAATGACCTGCACTGGAGCTGTGATGGTGTGCAATGAATTGTCTGCAATAAATCATATTTTTTCTTGAATTTGGCTTGTTGAACTGTTTGCTATTTTTTCAAACTTGACCTCCTTCTCTGAAAAGATGTTCATGGTCTTTTGCTCCTTTGGGATATGCGACACAGCTGAAAGCGCTTTCGCCTTTCTCCTCCAAAGTGAAAGGCTGATGTAAATACAAGCAAGCCAGGGCTTCTCTCATGGGATGTGTTAAGGTTAGGCTTCTCTATGAAATGTCACATGGACTGAATGAATGTGAAATCCTGAGGAAGTCATTCTTGAGCAAGCCTCCAGTTAAGGTTGGGAATGGAGATGGCAAGGGAGAGGGAAAACACATTGCCTCCTCTCCAAAATGAAGATGTGTGCAGGACTCACAGCTTTCTAACTGCATGATGCACGTCTGTACATCCATGGGGAAGTTCTTCAGGTCCATGGGGCAGGCCAGAGTCAGTGTGATCCTGAGGAGAGAAGAGAGCACAGGGGAATTCTAAACAGTTTGTGGTACTGATGAGGGGGTGAACCCTCTTGGACATCCAGTGTTGCAAACAGGCTGGTACCTCACCTGAGACACACGGGTGTGCTGGGGGAATGACTGATCATTCACCTCTTCCCTGCCTGTTTTATCACGTGCAGTGTTGGAAACCATCGGAAATGAGGAACATTTGTGTCTGTGATATAATTCCTGGCAGAACTGTCTGCTGCAGATGGCATTTCATTGCGATGTTGTTTTGGACTGTGCAGAACAAAGGGTCACACACCACACAGTTTTGTTGCTTCAGTCTTCTTTTCTTGACTCAAGCTCACAACAGTCTGGATTAGCAGCAAGCCCAACCCATTCTCTGGACCCCCAAATATGCATTTCTAGAGACTGGGACTGTGGAAATCTTTGAACAGAACATTTTTGTGTTTAAAAAAAAAAAAAAAAAATTGATCAAGATTACACATTACTGTGGGGGAAAAGAGAGACTTTGGTGGGATTTTCTGCAGGGAAAATGCCCTACAGTAAGTTAATATGAACCTTTGTATCTTCCTGAATTCCTGCTGTGCCTCTTGAGACAGACCTCTACTTTTGTCTCTCAAGCTCCATTTTCTACTAGGTGCAGGCTGAATTTTATGTGGTATATTTCTGTGCTGTCCTATACCATGATCTATGCTCAAAATATTAGTTTTGTTCAACAAACTGATATTAAATTATTTGATTCAGATAGCTAGACAAGTGTTATTTGTTTTGATAATGCTGAAAATTCTGTTCCCTGAAGTGTTTAGATTTTTCAGCTTTATACCTTGATGTAGAAATAGTGGCATTTCCTGGGGAACCCGAATTGAATTTTTCTATCATCAGATATACAAGAAACTTAGCAGGAGGGAAAGATACTTTAACTTAAATCCTTATGTTGGAAGAAATTGTCTGCTTGAATTTAGAGTCATGTTGGGACAGAAGATGTGACAGTAGAAAGAATCGACCCATTCAAGTTTCCCCTTTATGAAAACAACTGCATTTTCTGTATTTAAACAAACACCTTACTAGAAGAGAGTCATCACTGGCCTATGCCCACTTTGTTTTTCTCATCACATCTCTGGCAGGGAACTCTATCTCTGATCGATCAGAGAGATAAACCTTCAATTACATCTTCAGACAAGCCCCTTGAGAAGAATTTGCTGTGAATATTTGCCAGATGTGAAATAGGGGTGACTGTGGCTACGACTGGGTCATGAGATGCTGAGCACGTGCTGAACAAGCGTGTGCTGAGAAAGGATCAGAGAGTGAAATCCTCAGAGCTACTTTGGGTAAACTCAGTGCCGAGCCTTGGGTCCATGGGACAAAGTCCACGTTCTTGTAAGTGCCTTGACTAGATTATGACTATTGCAAATAATAATAGCAAAGAGCCAGTGAGACAATGGCAGAACACTTTAGATGGAAACTTTTTGAAAAGAGAATGACTATTTCTCCTTTTGGAAACTCTTTGCATTTACATTGTGCTCTTCCATCATGAATGTCCTCTTTTGTTTTGGTTTTCACAAGGTAGTGTACTTAAAAAGAAACTTAAATTTTCATTTGGAGATGAGAGATTTAGGAAATTTATTTTTAAAAAACAATAACTGAAGTGTTTTCAAGTTTTTGCCTTGAAAACAGTGATCAGCTCAGCCACATTTGCTCCATTTCCCCTGCTGAGTTGTTGCTCTGTTTTTCAGAGCAAGCCTAGGGCTGGGGTGACCCAGTATTCCCCTCTCTGTGCTCCTGCAAACCCACCTGGAACAGGACTATGTGCCATGCTCACTGCCAAGCTGCTGGTGGGAGTTCCACTACCTGCCAGTTTTTAGAAATTAACAAATGTGAGGTTTTCACATTCAGTCAACAAGCATGGCAATTCTCTTATTGTTTTGGCCATCAGGGAGCTTATCTGTTGGTTTGAACAACCTTGATATTTGATGGAGGCTGTCTACACTGCAGCATTAAACTGTTTATTTTCCATTTCACAGCTCCATGTTGTTTTTTCTTTCCCATGGCTGCCACTGGGAGCTACAGTGTGAGATGACGTGTGTGTACAGTAGGCAAATTTACATTATACATGAAGTGATAAAGTCTTCAGGGTAGAGTTAAACTTTCCCTTCTTAAGTTCATGAAATTTGATCTTAATTTCATCGGTTTAAAATAAAGAGTGGATGGGGTTGGAAGTGAAGTGAAGTTGGGGAATTGGATTGATTTCCTGTAGGAAATTCAGTGCAATTAATTCAGCTTCACTGATGGATTCTCAGAATCTGTGATAAAGAGATAAATGGGAAGAGGTATGCTGAGATAAAGTGATGTAGCTCTACTTATCTGTTTCCCTAATTTTTTGTCAGGAAATGCTGCAGCTTTCAAAACACAGTTTTCATGGGCTGTTTTTAGGCTTGCTATAATGTCTCAAGTAATTTTACATTAGAGATGTTAAGGAATCTACTAGTGAGAAGCAGAAATCCTCAGACTGAGAAAGGTAGAGATGAGCTAGATTCCTTCCAAGACCAAACTCTGTCTCAATATGCTTTGGCTAACACATTCCTGGTTACTACTTTTCTACCTGTTGAACAAGCAGCAGCAAGTAGTGACTATCTGGCTGAAGTACTGACATCCTTCTGCTCTAACATGGGTTCAGCTATTGATGTAAGGAGGCATTTCCCAGCCTCCTTTCTTCACTGATTTTTTTTTTCCTCCCTTCTCCAAATAAAACTGTTTCTGAAAATAAATTATTTAGGCATAGCTTTGTCTTAGCAGGTCTTGAAGACAAAGCTGTCTGAGGGTATGGAAGTACCTGCAGCTATGCAGTGGTCTCTGCTGCTGCAGAGGCAGTCCAGCTCATGATATGCAGTCTCCATGCCTTTCAAAAGCATCATCCTTCAACATCCTGAATTCTGGAGGGAGGCATGAGGCACAGGAAAATTTGTCTCTATCTCAAGCTCTTCACTGGTGTGTGATAGAGTACTGCCAGGCTGCTCAGTCCTTTTGGATGGGCATCTTCTTATTTAACCATGAAGAAAATCAATGGTGTTTCTTATGCTTTCTTTTAAAGGGAAGTTACTAATGCAAAATTAGGACTTGAAGTTCAGGTAGCTGGTGGCACTTTCTCAGAAGGATTCCACACCTTTGCCAACCTCTTCTTATTGGGATGGCTGGACTAAGAGCTCTTCACTTACAGCACATTACTCTGGTCACCACGAGGATGTGCTTAGACATGCAAACATGGAACCGTATACCTCGCTGCTCTTAAGCACAGATTAATGTTGGATATAAAGATCCAGATGAGGGAGCTGGTTACTGACCTTTTTCTTTCTTTTAGCTTGTGTAGTTATATTTAACTCAAAAAAAATTGGAACAATATTGGTTAGGGAAATAAGGATGTGTTTCACTTTTCAGTGATTTTTGTGCAAAGGAATCTGCCCCAGAAGGAGAATGAAGTACTGTCACAGGCTGCCCACAGAGGTGATGGGATCTCCATCTGTGGGGTATTTCAATTTGGCCAGACAAAGCCACAGATGGCCTGATCTGTTGTCAATCATCAGAATGAAGTCTCATGGGAGACCTCCATATGTCCCTTCCCACCACATTGTTATGACTGCTAATTGCATGATCTCCCACTTTAAAACCCCTCAATTTCTTTTTTTCCAATGGCATTCTCAAAGTCTTCACTTTCTTGTTTTAGGCTCTAACAGTGGGAGTTTAGCTCTGCCCTCCTCTACCTTGGTGGAGCTCTTCCCATTGAGTCACCTCACCTGATGCTGTAGAGAACATTGCCATTTCTGGAGATCCTCAGAAGCTTGTTATCTGTGGTAATCTCATGGAAATGGGCTCCTTTCTCATTTGCAAAGAACAAGTCAGGCTTCCAGATGGAGTCCAGCATAGAGGGGTCCAAGTCCAGGGAGTCGTCAGGGTATTCATTGTACGCCAACCGTGGGTCATTCCATTGCTGCCGCAGGAAGATGTTTACCCTGTAATCCTACACGGTGTAATCAGGGAGAAGAGAAACACAGTTAGTACCCAAAGTAGGCTGAAAGTGCTAAAATCTGGGGAGCATGAACTCAATTTTCAAAAATAAACCATGTCTAAGCCTACTTTCCCAAGCTATGGCAAGCCTTTTCAGCATTATTTCTCAAGGAGTTGTTGTTAATTTTTAGCTTTGTAGTTTACAGCCACCTCATAGCATGAGCAGCTGCCTATCCTTGTATCCCTCCATCACAGTAGTTGTCATCTGTGTTTGAAGTGTCAAGACCTCTAGTCTCCAGGGGCTAGAAAAGCGATGTTCAGTTGCAGAGGCTGTAAGGGCTGGTGTCAGCAAGGCAACAGTTGCAGAAGATTATGGGGGAAAGGAGACCAAAGACAATTTCTTTCCAGTGTTGAACCATCCCATATTGTGATTATCTACTGTTCCTCCAGGGTTGTGAAAAGGCACAGTGAGACAAGCAGTCCATGTAAGGGACTAATATAAGGGTAACTCAGATGAACTGATGGGAGCAACTGCCCTTGGTGAAAGGATGTGAACATGAGAGGGACATACATGAAGTCTGCTCTCCTAATCCTAAGTGGGTGTTCTGAGTTCTCTCTAATGTCAAAATGCCATAATGTTACAGATTTTATAGGGTAGCCATTTTTTTAATTGAAACTAGTCCCAAAGCACTATGCAAAATGCTATCTGCCTCATATCTGTGTGCGTTAGGGCTCCTCTGAGTTCCCCAGGCCAAGGTTTGCTCCTGAGGTCAAGCTCAGACACTCTCCTGGACAATTAAAGGCAGTTTCTGTTCTCCCTGTCTGATCAAAAGCTTCCCAGGGTGATCTGTGTGCCCCTTTTTTGCTGACTTTCACATAAGAAAATGAGCCAACAAATTGAAATGGAGAGAGGACTTGCCAGCTATCAGGAGAGGGATAAATGCTCCATGTCCATGAATTAATTGACATTTTCTAAGTAGAGAGGCAGACTGTGTCTGAAGAGCAGCATATGATAAACCAGTTTCACTGCCCTGGCCCAAACTAATAGTTGCTATCTTGATTAAGGGTTTCTTTTGTGCCTTTTTAATACTAATATACTTTGAAGACTTTTATGAAGAGAAAGTTAATGGAGGGTGTCTGACATGCTTGCTGGTATGTAATACCTGCTGCAGGCACTAGGACCTTTCTTTCAGTGAGGCTATTTTACATCACTGAGGGGATCTCCCTGACTCTGCCATCAGGTCTGTTCTTTCCATCTGGAGAACACAAAGCTCTGGAGTTGAAGGGTGCATGTGGAGGAGAATCTTTTTGATGTTGCTGCCTCAAATGCTTCCTTGACTATGAACCTACAGCCTCTTGTCCAGGAGGACATGACTTCTGTGGAGTCCAGTCACAGTGGAGGCTTTGGAGAGGATTGTGTTTTGAGCACTTTGTGGTTTTGTATGAGGCAGTTAATAGCCAAGCCCATGGTCTAGAATCTGTTTCAAGCCACTTAGTGCCATCTGCATCCTTGGAGCACAGAAGTTGCTAATGACATTAATGATTGTGACAACAGCAAATAGACTGAAGTCTTCATGCTGAAAGGAGCAGACTTCTGAACCTGAAAAAGAGTTGCAACACTCTCTCCTTCTGCTGATATTCTGCATGTCACCTTCACAAGTCCTAGTCAGTCCCTCTGACTTAATTATTCATCTCTGTCCACCCTGCATAATGTGTCTTGAGAAACTGTGAATAGCTGTGGACAGATTGGAACCGGGTCTTAGTGCAGGACTAACCAATCACACAAACCTGAAAAAGGAAACCAATCCTGAACCTCCACTTCCCATGGCTTGCAGCAGCTCCCTGAACAAGTTGTATACTTTCAGTTCTCCCTTTTCTGTGTGTAAAGATCTGCAGCCATTGCAGTCAGGGGAAATCAGTGTCACTGACCTAGTAGGTAGAAAGCAAAATGTTGTTTTGCTTATTCAGCTGCAAGTAAGCTAGATGTTAGCAGGTCAGCTCCAGCTGGGGGCTTATGTCATGTACAACACAAATTAAACTCATGTTTGGAAGAAACTTCGGTGGTAGCTGCCCAGAAGTGTTCTCAGCCTGATGGAGTGTTGCAGGGGGGAAACAAAGTCAATCTCCCTACAACAGCCTGTGTTGCCACGGATAAACTTTGTTCCTGGAGTAAATTCACTGCTTCAGCTCCAAAACTTGCCAAATGGAAAGTGTGAGAAGAGAGATGTAGTGTGGTTTATGTTGCCACCAAAGCAGGCATAAGAGGCTATAGCCTTTGTAACCATGATGAGGGATCTTAGTCACATGCTTGTGGGGCAGATGAAAAATAAGTTCTCACAGCAGATGGCTGTGAGAAGGCCCCTCCTGACTCATCTCCAGAGACCGAGTGTCCTGTACTCATGTCCTGTGTGGGAACAGTCCAGGGACACGTTGTGAATGTGTGGTGTGAGAGACTGCACTATCTCCATGCAGGGGATGTTCAGCAGTGTGCTGAGTAACTCTGGTGCAAGCTACTCTTTGTGCTCTTCCTTTGGAGATAAGTGTTTGCAGTGGATAGTTTTTGTTTTGGAATATAGACAACTGAGCACTTGCGTTGTAATATAAAAAAGGCAAGAACAAAGAAATATAATTGCACTGAATGCAGTTCTCTGACTTTACCATTTATGGCATTAGTATTTTACCTATCTGTGTGTGTGTCTTTGTGCATTTATGAAGATCTTCCTTCTCAGTGAGTTTATTCCACAGTCCTGGCCTGGCCACTGAGGATGGTTGTTTCCTCCCAGATGCCTTTTCCCTTATGACAGACAGCTACATTGCACTGTAGTATTAAAGTTGCTGAGCAGCCTTTTAGATTTCTTGTGGCCAGGCTTATCCGAACATAAATGTAAAAACAAGCACTGTGACTGCAAACTGGACATGAGACTGCCTGAGGAGCCAGCAGAAAGCATGGAGAGCAAATGGGGTATGTCTGTGGCTGTGGCATAGCCCAAGATAAGGGTTATGGTGTTCTGTACCAGCTAAAGGATCCTGTGTGTTGAAAGCTTTGTGCCTAAGCATTGCAGTCAAGCTGAGAGGTGATGAGCCAAACAACACTCATTTGTTGGCTACCTGGAGATATCCAGTGTTTCTCCTGGATGCTGTTGTATGAGATCTTAATTAGCACCACCAAGAAATCTACAGTTATTCCTAAATGATAGATGGAACGGACCAATTTCTGATGTGAACTTTCAAGCAAAAAAAAAAAGATTTTACTAGAGGAGCAAAAAAAATCTCTTTCTTCATATTCTTCTTATCACTTGAGTTCCTCATTTGTGTGCCAATCACATCCAGGCATTTATTATCTTGTGCAGCCCGCTCCTCTGGCTGGCTTGGTTGTGGAGAGCAGCAACTGTGTCGTGAAGGCATTCAGGAACTTTGCAATTTGGCACAAAGGCATTTTACTCCCAAGGGTGAAATGACACAGGGCAGGAAGAAAATAACCGAAGTGATCAAAGTAGCTCAATTTGATAATGCTGAAATGAAATTCTGCTTAGTGACCTTGCAAGGATCCAAGGAAATGGAAGATCATGTGACACCTTTCTTTCCCGAGATACCACAGCCTTGGCATCTGATGATGAGTGAGCTGATGAAAACAGTGGCAGGCTGGAGGTAGTGCTGTGAAGAAGGGATGGAGGCTGTCAGGAAACTCAATAGATTTCAGCCCCTGACTCAGGGATTCTGTCAGACCAGCCTCTGCACTGAACAGTTTTGGTGAGAGATTTCACTTTGATAAATTTACATTTTGCTGATGGAAAAAAAATGGTATAAACTGAACTCCCTCAGGAGGAGATTCTGTTATCCCACCAGGACAACAGAGAACAAGGAGCTCTCTAGAAAGAGAATGAACAAACATTTTTAAAGCTACTTGCCCTGCAAGGGAACACTACAACTGACCAATTACAAAAACAAACAAAAACACAAAAAAGAAACACACCTGGAGCAGAGCTTGGAAGGGTTAATAAGGGACCTCATTACCTTGCCACAGCTGTAGCCAAGTAGCCAATTTGAAGCCTGGTATGAAAGCTACAGCTGGGTGGAGGGGAGATGCTGTGAATAGTAGTTATGTGGAAGGGACTGCTGAGGAGGAAGTCTGTTCTTTTAGGTAGGTGAGTGTTGAGGGGTGGAAGCAGTACCCAAGTGCTTAATAGATGTGGAAGTTTTGTGCTACAACCTAAAGCAGAAAGATTTTCTGGTCTCCCTACAAAAGGAGGGGGAAGTATATCTATGTGGGCTAAGAATGGAGCAGCTGGGGAGTGGGCTGTATCTACCATCCTGAATTTCAAGTTTATGAGTTTAGCAGTGAGGTCTTGTTCTTCAGCTTAGGTTTTGTGGATTTTTTTGGTTTGGGGTGATTTTTTTTTTTTTTTTGAGTTGTATTTGAATTACATCTTCTCATTTGATTAATTTTTTTTCTCCCCTTCTCTTCTGCATTCAGTGTAAAGGCAAACTCCACCCACGTAGACAGACAAAACACTGTGGGTCTAACATTGAAACTGCAACAGGCTGTGAGATGTGGAAACCTTTTCATTTTGTGTTGTGTGACTTGATATATGCTTATCATCTCTGTGGGACTGATGGTTAGTTTTAAGAATGACTGACTGCAGAAAACTGAGCTCAAATCCTAGCCTTTGCTACAGGCTTTTTCTGTTGGTACATATGTCTTTTGCTGACCTTGGGGTGAGTGGGCCCAGTGTTAAATGTGTGACCTATGTGCTTCATTAGTTGTATTTGTTATCTGCTGTGCTGTGGCTTGTGAGGCTGGAGTGAATTACTTAGTCTGTTTTGCAGGATGGTTTGTTATCTCCTTGGAAATCTCATATACAAATGTCTCTGAACAAGTATTTAACATTTGGACAGTTGCAGCCTCCAGCTTCTCCTGTCTTTAGGAGATGCTGGAAGTCCAATTGTGGCTGTATTGTAGCTGGCTGGAAGGTCGCATTTGGTTTGCTCTTTTCTGATGGAATAACTATGGCATGAAAGCAGAAAAATTAAATTTGTATATGTACACTGTGTCTAGGGGAGCCTGTGCTGATTGTTTTGTGGTTTTCTTTTACACTTTCTTGTTGGTTGCTTATGGGTCCTTTTTAAAACATGAGACTGGGAAGAGCCATCTTGAGCATTGAGTCCAGCTCCTAGCAACTCTAGGTGATGATATAAAAAAAAATTCCTCCTTCTCCATATGCCTTTACTGTATACAAAATGCTCCCAACTGCCTAAGCTAGTGAAAGAGACGTAAAACTACAGCTTCCATTGGAATAGATCAAGGGCATCACTTAATTCCAAGTCTGCTGTTATAGCAGGTTTGTTAGATGAAATGCTTGGATAATCCTACCAACTTGTCTTGTACTATAATGAAAAGCCAAAGCTGGTGCAGTTTATTCACTTAAAATCAAGACCCTGTTCCCTAGGTGCTTGAACTGTTTTATTTTGAATGAAGAATTTGTAGCTTTGCTGTAGGTTTCCTACTTTGCTATGTCTAGGAGGGAAGGTGTTTATGCTTTTAAAGATCAGAAAGTGATTTAACCACTTGTGGTTAGGAGCGAGGGTTGTTTGGTGTTCTTAATGAAAGTAAGCGGATAGAGTGGATAGATCTTGCATTTGTCCTCTGGACTCCCTTGCTGTTAGATGCACTGTTGCAGTGATGCACTGGGACAGAAGGCAGCTGGCTGTGTGTCTGGCTGTTGTAGTTGGTAGTATCTTTCTCTTTGAAGCAGTTGTTGGGTTCACAGAGATGTGTTCCCAGTCACAGGTTCCCTTGTTCTTTGAGCTGATTGCAAGTGAGACTGATGGATATAAGCTATGAGCTGCAATGTCTAATCAATTATGTGCAGCACTAGAGGCTTTTATGTTGGGTCTCCCAGTTCTGCAGTATGCTTAAAGGAGTCTACTTCACTTGTTCTAAGTCAGATCTGCTTTGGGGAATTCAGTTTGGTGGATGACCTTTTTTTTTTTTTTTTTTAATTCTTTCTATCCTTGCAGCAGTTTTCAGGTCTCCATTTTTTTTGCCTTACTCATTTTGAATCTTACATGGGCAGAGAGCAGCTTTTTGCCCGCTCTGGGAAATATGTGCCTTCTCTTGGCCCAGACTCATTATCCTCCCTTCTGAGGTTTGTAGATGCAAGCGGCTGCATCAAATGCTCATCTGGTTCAATTTTCCTGTGTTTTCTCCTTTTCCTCTACCTTCCATGTTACCTCAAGGTGTAACCAAGCATTTACCTCCAATTTAATTAATCCTTTGTATGGTGACTTCATGATTTAAACTGATTTGTGAGATGCAGGCACTGTAAACTTAAATGGTAGCAGGGTTATTTTCTGAAGGAACTAATAGTCCTGCTATAGGGAGATATTGTAGAGCCTTCTCTAATTGCGTCCATAAAAACCTGTGACTTTTACTGGAGGTAGTAGTACAATTGCAACCAAATATAAGATGATGTAGTACTCAGAACCTGAACTTGGCCAGGTTTAGGGTGCCTAATGATTGATGTTTAAGCCATAATTTTGTTCTTTCTCTATTGGTCAATGAAGCAGCTGGGGGAGTGTTGCCATCATCAGTTCTAGGGGGCAATGATAGATTACTACTTCATGACAGAATGTTGAATTACCTCTCTCCTATGCAAACTTCCCTCCCTCTGATATTTGATCTCTTGTTTGAATTCAAAGTAGTCAGGTGGGTCTCAGGATCCCTTCATGGCAGGACCTTCTGCCCTCCCCCAGAAACTGTGGTGAGGATCTGACAGTGTCTATTTGACCTGCTGCATCCCCAAACAGTGGGGAGATATTGGTTTCTCTGCAGAGTAAATAGCAGGTTAGGAAATCTCAGAGACTACTCTAACTTACTGAGATCTCATTTTTAGATGTTTTAGTACCTATGTTTCTTGTGTTGTTGTCAGTATTTACAAGCAGAATTGCTGTCCCAAAAGAGGTGCATTATATTAGGCTGTGTGCAGTGCTGTGTCAGCCTGACATCTGGACTAGCTTGTCAGCGCTGGCTTGGGTATTTCTAGACAAAGCAATGTGCCCAGAGGGTGTTCTTGGGTTCCCATGGGAATTCTTTCTATGGAAGATAGACTATGAAATGACTGGCATCTGGAGAGGATAGCAAGTCCCTGCAGCATGTCTTGGAGGTGAACTGCATCTCTCTCTCTCTCGTGTTAGTCTATGCTAATTTTATGGAGCATCCTGCTTACAGGGATCCTGTCGTGTCTTTGTATGACTGCTCCAATGCATCTCAATGTAGGACAGATATATTGGAAAAACTTGTAATTATAATGTGCTCTGTGAGTTGCACAGGGACCTCTTGTGGGCCTGCCCCTCTCCCTTGCATTCTGGATTATCTCTGATAGATTCTGTAGGAACAGAGTATGTATTGTCTGTAACACCACAGGAGGTATCCAGTAAAATAGTATATTAGGAACAGATGCTTATTTTAGTTCTAGTTGTTTCTCTCTTGCTTTATATACAAATGAATCTATTCTCTCTTGCTTTATATACAAATGAATCTATGAATATATTTCTCACCTATGAACTCTGACAAATTCTGCAATCTGTCTATGAAATGTGTTTCTTTGTGCTTAGACAGAGTAACAGCCTTTTTTTTTTTTACTACTAGAACTGAACTACCCTCAACACCAAATATTTCCAGAAGAATTAGTATAGTGTCAGAAGAGACTTAGAATCCTAGGTATATAGCTGTTCATCTCCTATGACAGTGGTCTGCATGCCAAGTAACTTGACTAAGTCAAGGGCTGTGATCTATATGTAAAGCTTCTAACATCCTGCCTGAACTCACAAAACGCCTGAAGCTGGAGACTTGCATTCTTCATTCAACATCTTTCTAGAAAAATAATTACCAAAGAGTAATTAAACATTATCTTTCTGGATTATCTTTAATTAGCACAGAGGTAAGGCACTGTACCTCCAGAGTTTTCCTTTGCTGTTCACTGATTATGTCACAACCAATCTTTAATAGTTTTCAGATGGAGCAATTATCTCCTCTTCTAGTCATTCTCTACTCCTAGTTAGTGTCTTGCCAATTAGATACAGCCTTTAGCTATTTTCACTAATTTTGTCTGAAGTGAGCTTTAACTTGCAAATACTGCTTTTGATTTTTTTTTTTTTATTAAAAATCACTGTCCAACAGGAATGTCTTGAAGAAAATCATTTAGTGATTTTTCTTAATCTTTGGGATTCTGAAGTCTGGTGGAGACTGAATTTTAATTCAGCTGATTTCCCTTCAGGTTTTGATTCAGACTTCTGGATTTATATGTACTTAAACAGAAAGTATCTGCATCTATGTCTCAGCTTGGAGCCTTAGGCAAGTCTTCAGGAAAGACTGCTTCTTTTTCTGACCCTTATAATTCATGTGTACAGTGTTTTCATAGAGATGCAGATAGAGACTCTGTGATCACACTACATGCAGTGCAAGTCTTGTGTGTTGACCATTAATTTACTCAAACCTTATGTAATCCTGGGAACAGGGAGACAGTATTTTCCTCTGGTCACACTAAAGAGGAGGGTGATGCTGCATTTGCTGGGAGTGCAATGAGGCTGAGCCAGTAGCTTGAGCAGCTGCGCTGTGATTTTTTTTTTTTACTTACCATAGTCGTTTCTGCAATCGAACCAAAGCTGTTGATGAAAATGTTGCAGCTGACATTCACTGGTGGGCCTGCATGACAAATACAGATTGGAACAGTAGTTCACTGTGTGTTTATAAGACAAAGTATTTCCACTCTGTAGTGTTAAAACCTATTGTGGGAACAGGGCGATTGAGGGCTGAGTATGGAAATAAGGTCTGGATGACCTAGCTTAGTCTAGTCTTGGCTCTGATGCCAGTTTTACACCAGGCAATGCTTTTGCTTTGCCTCTGTTTTCCCTGTTTGGGAGAGTGTTTATGTATCTCTTCTGGGAACTGTTTTAATGAAAAGGAATAGATCACAGCCAAGCAGGATAGCTTTCTAGATATCTGTGTTACTGTATGGGTGGCAAGCCCACCCTGAACATGTTAAGAGTGTATCCCAGAAAAGGATGGAGAGACTATTGACAGGCCTCTTGTTTAGAGTTCTATACTTTAAAAATACTCATTTAAAGCATCTAAGTGTTTCTGAACTAGGACCATATGTTCCTTACCGAGTCAGTGCACCAGTGTGCGCTGTAGGGATCAGGCTGGGTAAAGGGGCAAGTACCCCATGGGATGATGGTGGTGTCTGCTAACACTCACAGCTGGATAGGAGATTAAGGCTCTGCCAGTGGAAATTCTCTGGCTGTCCTATTTTGGGAGAGGGTACTCCCAGACTTTGGGCTTTATTTGTTTTCAGACTGAAGCTTTGCTTAGTCTGCTTGTATTAGAAAAGGTAAGGGGCCACCAAAAGAGAGGAGTAAGGATTAAGGGGCGAAAAGATTGTGGTTAGAGGGCATTGGGAGTCAGTCTGTTCACGTGGTACTAGTGCCCAAAGATATCAGTATGACTGGAAGTGAGTCACAATATTACCTGACAAATCTGAGGTGGAAATGTTGCATTTGCACCAAGAGAGATACCAAGCACAAAGATGCAGTTCAGCACAAAAAAAAAAAAAATGCTAGAGAACATTTTGGAACCAGAGCCATATCTGGTGCTTGGCAAACCAGTGTCTTTCCCACAGATAAGAGGATTTCTATAGAGTTTTAAGGGGAGGGAAGAAGCAAAAGGGGCCTCTGCCCAGTGTGTGGTGGGGGAAGGCAGCCCAGGCAGTGAGCAGAGGACACTGCCCCAAGAATGAAGATCCCCCTTTAACACTGGGGGAATTAATCTCCTATCATTTCTGTGACGTGGTTCTGGGAAGATATGTGGAGTGTGGATTTTTGGGTTATTCCACCATCCGTTATGGAGACAAGGATGGTGTATGCATTTCAAACATTGCCTGATGGCTCAGCTTCGCTGGGGGAGTTGAGACTTGCTTGTTAAGGTCACATCTGCAGTCTGGCAGTTGCTGCAAGATGAAATACTGGAGTGGGGAAATAGCTTCAATGGGAGGCTTGGACCTCTAATCAGTGCAAACTTCCTCCTTTGTGGGAATTAATGGAATTTCCTGATTACTAAGTAACATTTGGAGCTTGGTTTGTTCCTCTTCATTTCCCTTTCCACCTTTCCTATTTTGGCCTCATCTAAAGGATTTTGCCTGTCCTCTGCGGGAGTAGGATTGCAGCCACATAACAGTAATACTCTCTGTGGCTGGGGTTTTCTTGGGATGGGTCCCTATCCAAAAAGCTTGTGAAGTTTATCCAACAGCTGAAAGCACACAGTTTATCAGGCTTTAATATTTGGTTTATCACTTCTGTAGTTCTTCTCTTGAATTTGGGAGTAATAGTTTTCTTCTCTGGATCCCTCTCATGAGCCATATAGAAGGTCCATGTGCATGTGATTTCCCCTTCCAAAGGGTACAGCAGAAAACCACTGAGCTGACCTCTTGGATAATGATATGTGCTCATGACTGACATGTATGGAAGATTTTGGCCCTCTTCTTCCTGATCCTGAGCTAATGTCAAGCTGAGTGTGGTATGAGCTTGGTCCTGTGCATGTGAAGACTCTCTCCTTGGGGCAGCCCAGCTCTTGTTGAGGCACTGTGCTCTTCCCACTGCATCCAACGGCAGCTGTGAGCATTCTGCAGGGTTTGGGGTTTTTTAGCTTGTGTGAGGCTATAAAAACTTCCCTGACTCCTGCTGAAACGTCCCACTTCTGCTGTAGAGCAACTGTGAAGGATAGTTTGCTAGCAGCAGGGTTAAGGGTAAAGCCTGGGTGAGAGGTCCCTTGTCCTTGGTGCCTGCTGGGTGCAGTTCTGTCACTGCCCGAGTTACTGACTTCATTCTCCAACTTAAGCCAAAGCCCAAATGCCTCTTTCTTGTTCTCAGAATTTGAGCCCACAGCTAAGTCCAGACTTATAACATTTGTGGAAAAGTTGCAATCTTATTTTTGTTAATATTCCCTTCCCCCAAAATCAATCTGATATGGATCTTTGGTATTATTTTAATTTAGATCTAAGCCATTAAAATGCCCTTATGAGTTACTGCAGTTAATTTAAATGACATGCTTTGAGAGCTACAACCCCAAGCTCTGTAAAACACCTCCAATGCATCCCATATAAATTGGACCCTGATTCACGTGGGACGCTAAGCCAGCAAAACTGCCCTGTGGGGAAGGTGTAGTTCATAGAAATAAAACCGAAATTAAATTATCTCAAATAAAAATGCAATACAGCTGCCTTCAGCAGGAAGATAATGTATACATTTCATTAAATATTAAAGTTTAATTTCTTTTGTGTGTGTGCATAATTTAGTGGTAGGCAGGTTTACAGGATAGTTTAACTCTTTGATTTGGATAAAAGCAACAGTGTTATCTGTTGCCTAGATGATTGCTAAGGCATCAGCTTCCCACCTATATATGAGTTTAAAAGCCCAGTATAGAGCTTATTGTTTGAAGCTGGATGGCAGGTGCTGTCGCTGTGATTAATGGGTCCTGAAAGTCCTATGTTAGCATTGCCAGTGACTCTTGGAGGGAGGAGGAATTGGTAAAAGGAAACAAAGTGAATTAAATGGACATAGAAGAGGGCTGACGCAGGTTTTGCTTTATCTCTGGGTGTGATTCAAGGGCAAATACATCTGGGAAAGTGAGCTCAGTTAAAAAGAAAATCAAACAATAAACCCACCAAAAAAACCCAAATCCACCCTTGCTAGAAGAGGTGTTTTGAGGAGCAAAGAAAGAGGTTCTATTGCCTCTCCCAGGGCCTCCTCCAATGCTGCTTGGCTGCCAGTGAGTGTAAGGGTGACCTGAGGAAATTGGGTGTGAAATGGAACTGTGTTGGACGCTAACTTAAGAAAACCTTTACTGTGGGGAGGGGACGATGAGGACAGTGGTGAGCAGAGCTGTCCCTGGCATCTGGCTGAATTCCTCTGGAGCTGATGAGACTCCTCTTAGTTTCAGCAGGCATCAGGGGGACCATTGCCTGCTATTAGAAAGTGTTGTGGGCAGCGACTTAAAGGGAGAGGAAAGTAGAAGTTTTTCTTCTCCTAATATGCAAAATGTTCAGCTCCCTGCCAGTCACTGCTTGGTTTAGTAGGATCCCCAATCCCTATATAGAAGTTTTTCCTGTATGTAAAGTTGTTACAAGGTTGTGTCCATTCTGAGTGGAAGTGAGAAGTTTTTCCAAACATCTACAAGGGATCCGTGTGTCAAATCTCTCATCATATGTATTTCATATGGACATAAAGATTGCTCATATTCTATATACAGTTAGGGAGGCATTCATGAGGATTGCACACAGTTTTCAGTCCCAAAATGAAACAAATCCACAAAGCAGGGTTTTTTCATACCTTTAAAATTTGGCCTGATCCTGGCATCATATCCTGAAGTTCTTCCCATCAATTTATCCAAGAAATCAGAAGGAGACATGGGCTTGGGGGCAGACCGTGCTGCTGCTTCAGCTTCTTTGGAGGCTGCCAGGCTGTGAGAGTAGAAAGAAACAGGAGGTTTTAGTATACATCCCATACCGAGGAGGGCTTAGGGTCCAGACATGGAAGAGTTGCCATCTCATTCCTGCTGCACGGCAGGATGGGCACACATGTGAATTACTGATGAGGCTGGACTCTAATTTGTTTGCCCAGCCCAAACATCTTTGAATACAGAATCCCAGCTGCCACCAGAGTAGGCGAGATGATGAGTGGAGAAAATCCTTTTGTGAGTTTAGGTATAACTCCCTGGCATGTCACTAAATTACAAATGTGAACTCTGGCACTGAGCTCCACAGGTAAAATACACTGAGATTAGCCTTGGGCAGCAATTACTGCTTAATTACATGGCAAATAGCAAGGGGCATATCTGGTACTCTTACAGTCTTATTTTCCAAAAGGCAGGTAGAATCAGAGCAATCTGAGGCTTAAATGAGAGTCATGTGATTGTAGAGCTCCTGCACAGCCTTTGGGACTGTAGGGGATAGATGTATTTTTGCTTCCCTCTTGCTGGTCAGTCTAGCATTTGTTACTGGTACCTGCAGTGCAGGGGTTTTAGTTCTATACAGCAACATGGCGTCTGGAGAGTGATCCTGAAATGATACTCATGTTGGGTTGGGGATGAAAGAAAATGAAATCTTTTTGGGACCTGTATGGCTTCTGGGGCAGAAAAAGTGATATTACCTATTTATCTGTAGAATCTACTTAGATTCTACAGATAAATAGATTCAGACAATGTAGAATTTATCTGAAAATCTAAGACTGGCAATGTGCTTTCTGACTCTAGAAGTCAAGATCTGCAGGGTGACAGTTTGGGCTTAAGACGTCTGTGGTGTTGCCATCTACACAGGAACAAGTGACCCCTGGTACTAGGTGCTCATTCTCAACTTTGGAGGAAGGTTTGATTTCTAAGGCAGGAATAGATGCTATTCAGTTCCTTCCCTATGGTTATGAGACTCCTACTTCAACACAGATCTGTTCCCAGGCTGAAAGTGTGGTGTAAAATTGCCTAGAATAACAAAACAAAGCAAACAAACAAAAAAACCCCAAACCCCATAGCTAACATGCAGTGTGCTTAGGGCAAGAGCTGTCTCTGCCTGAGGGTTCAGATGCCTGCTGGTTAAAGCCTACAGGCAGTATTGCAATGCAAATATATAATAAGCCAAAGAAAGCTGTTCAGAAGGAAGTAAGGCTCATTGCTCCACCCTTTACAAAACTCCTGAACTTTTTTTAAAGTACAAAGGCTCTGTGGGAACTGTGAGAAGCCATTGTGGCAGAGCAGCTAAGAGGCCTAAGCATGTTTACAACAGGCACAAGGTATTTAATTATGTATGTCCTCATAAATGACACCGTGGAGTCCTCTTACAGAATGAGGACCTCACCTTGGATAGTTTTTCATTTCTTGTCTCAAGAGACTGCAGAAGTCAAACATGCTGTCTTTCAGAAGAGTAGTGTTAAGTACTGGCACAAGATCTGTCAGGAAGAATTTAGGGACAGTTACTATGCATTAATGTGACCCTGCCCCCAAAGATCTGTTAGTAAAATCTAAGTTTGAGCTGAGACTCCAAAGACACGAATATTACCTAGATAAGGCCTTGACAAGAACATGTTGTACTACCAAGTTCCCCAGAACTTCAAAAACGGTTTGGATTCAAAAGGGTTTGAGTGCCATAATTTCAAAATCAGGAGTATTTAGTAACCTATATTGTGTTGACTCTTCTCCAGTGTTAGTGATGATGGCAATCTGGAATTTAAAACTAAGATTTCATTTACCCTTCATGTACTTACAATCCACTCCCACAGTGGACCTGATCTGAACTGGCTGATGCACACTTGTGCTTGGATGTGATGTGAAAACATGTGGCTCTAGCTTTCACTGTAGCTGTGTGCCATTTTTTATCTTGTCCCCATATCTGCTCTAAGAAACTGTAAAACCAAACCAGTATGTTTCAGAGGTAAATGGGGTTGTGAAATGGGCGATGTTTTAAATTTTTTTTTTTAGAAGGAAAACAAGAGGGTGCAATTGATTTGCAAACTCAGAAGAAAGCTGGGAGTGGGAGGACAGTCAATACTGGGCTTGACTACTGCATTCCAATAGAATGTCTGCATGGCAATGAGTTGAGAGAAGATTTCAATTAAGCAGCAAATGACTTGATAACCAAAGACTCCTGCCACTTCAGCCGAAAGATGCCAGATAGTGTAATACCCTGATTTCTTCTCATTAACTGTAGACTTAGGGAAGTATATGGAAGTGAAAAAGTGAGGGATAGTGGGGGAAGAGGCAGTGCTAATATAATAAGCTTTAAGTGCAAAAAGATAGTTAGAAACTGCAGTTCCCCTGGCATTCTTTTTTTGAAAAAATGAGGTGAAAAAGCACAGAAATCAGTGTTCAGCTTTCCTGTAAATTCAGTGTGAAAGCCTATTCTGAATGTTTACTCCACTTCTGATGAGTGACTTTGCTGATATTCCTTGGGTGCCATTTTCTGTTTCTTTCTGCATCAAAGTTGCAGGTAAATGAATTTCATGGGCTCAGTTCCTACATGGAAATATATGTTTAGATAAATGAATCCTACAAGTTTATGGATGAGGACCACCCTCTCACAGCCGTGCTGCTTTTTTGCAGCTTCATGACCATCCCTGTGAGCGTTTTCTGTGAGCACCTTTGGGGATGTGCTGAAACTGCAAAACATAGTCTCGTGTCTCCTGGTGTGTGTTTTAGAAGCTTTGTTTGGCTGCTGTGTGGTGTTACCCAAGTGACTTAGGAATGATGAGTTTTGAGTTTCTTCCCCTTTCTATTTGGTTACTAAATGTTTCCCTAAAACTAGCTGGTAACAACCTGCCCCATATACTTAAAGCAAGAAAGCAGGGGATGAGGAAATAACAAAGCTTTCCAACAGCAGCCTCTGTGGGTGGTGGGCAGATGTGTCTGCACTCTAGCTCAGAAGTAATAGTAGAAAATACCACTGGGAGCTACAGAGAGGCTGTCCCACCCACCATGCTCTGGAGGGATAGATTGTATCTAACATAAACATTAAATGTTCACTCTGGTTGTGACAAATGAGCTTTGATATGGCAGTTTAGCTCAGGCAGTATCCAAAAAAGCTATCAGCTTCTGCTGTCTTCCTGGTATGTCTCGACCAGTGCTGTGCATGCTGAGTTGGGAGCTTTCTGGGATTTTCTACATCCCTTAGTTTTTACAGAAACACCCTTGAAAATCAAATAGGACTGTTCATCTGGCCCAGAAGAGACAAGGAGACGAGCTGCCAAGTGATTTGAGAATTATTGATGATAGAGAAATGAATATTTAGGGTGGGTTATTGTGTTGTTCAGAGAGAAAATTTATTCTCTGAATAAAAAAAAGGAGGCAAAACATGTAACAAAACCACTGATGATGTAGTTTGCATTGGTGCAAGAGTCTTGTCTGTGCTGAGTGTCTTGGTGCATTTTAATAGCAGCCAGACAGTGGCTTATCTTATTTACACTGGTGTAATCCCTAGTGGATCTGGCTGAGAAAGTGCCATCGGGCAATCATCACAGCAACAAGAACAGAAAAGATCTCTTTAAAGGGTCAATGAACTAGCATAATCTCTTGTGATATTAATGTTGGCATGTCAGCAGACACCATCAAGCCCTTAGGTCCAGCCCAATAGCCAACATGTGAAGGTGAAAGCTGGTGGAGATGAACAGCACAGCTGCTCAGAGTTACCTGCCTTAAAATGAAGCAGTCAGGCTTTGCAGGACACCTATTACTGTTTTCTCCCAGCCTATACAAGCACTGTTTGCTCTATCTGCATTATTTTGTTTCAGCTAAACAGATGATATATTCTTATAAAGAGTTATTTGGTTTAGAAAGTGGCTCCTCTGCAGTCTGAGCATGTCAGTTTGCTCAGTTCCTGGCTCCCCAGTTGGCTGTTGTCTTCTCCTCTCCCTATTTGTATGGCCCTTGTGCAATATTTTCATGCTTTTTATTTTTTTGGCTGTGCCCATGGTTGTCCATCTAATTAAGTCTATCATAAACTGCCCTGTTCTGTTTGAATGCTGATACTGAGAAATATCAATTTTTTTTCTTTGAGGAAAGATGAAGGAATTTAATTAGCATGGGGCCTCTATTCCCCTGTCAAATAATTTAATTGTTAATCATTAATTCTGAGGGCAAAAAATAATGTCTGGCAGCAGAATCACAAACTGTTGCAAAACAAGTGTTTGCTGAGGAAATTTGTCTCTGCAAAGTGTGGAAGGCTCAGGTCTCTGTGAAGGTAAACTGGTGCAATGTCAATGGCTCGAACAGCACAGGGTTTATTCCTCTGATCGGGCTCTCTGCAGGCTGGGGAAATAGAAAATACCTGATTACCTATGCCAGTTCAGTGCTGCTCAGCAAAGGTTTCTGAAGTGGGTGCTTTGTTTATTTTTGAAACACAAATCGTAAAGTTTGGCAGGCATGTGTTGGGAATATGCTCAGGTGAGCTGGCTTTCACCTTTGTCCTTCAAATGTGATGTTTTCTGTAAGCAGGCATCCCAGGAGAAAGGAATATTCATCAGGTCTTTGAGGTAGGCTGAGGTGACCAGTACACCTGTTTCCCCCATTACCTTCAAAGCCAGGCTAGAGCAGTGTGGGGTGCTGGGGACACAGGAGGAGAATTCATCAGCTTAGTTTGATTGAATCCAGCAGGCTGAGAGGGGTAGTCACAAAGAGGACATCAGATAGTTGGGCACTGAAAGGCATCGTGTCATTTGTGATTAATGTTACCCACGGTAACTCTCCCGGAACCATCTCCCTGGTCCCTGAGATGGTGCCTTTTGGTCACAGAGGCCCCTGAGCAGGGACTGGAGCTCAGCAGAGTCCAGCCTGTATTCAGCCTCTGCTGATGCTGGGGCTGCCTGTATCCATCTTGTCCTCAGCAGCCAGAGAGAGGGAGGAAGGACAGATGAGAGATTTTCCTGGTGAAAAGGAGCAGCCCTAAACTCTGTACCTAGATTGTTATTTCTGACCCCATCA